AATTGTTTTATATGATGGTAAGATTGCTGGTGTCCTTTTTTCTGTCTCATAAACATGCTAGATTTCAGGTACGTCTTGCTACTTCTACTTATACTTAGGTCACACTACACATACAAGTTTTTTATTATTTTTAGCACACTGGCCGATTCCCACCAAGGCAGGGTGGCCAGAAAAAGAAAAACTTTCACCATCATTCATTCCATCACTGTCTTGCCAGAAGGGTGCTTTACACTACAGTTCTTAAACTGCAACATTAACACCCCTCCTTCAGAGTGCAGGCACTGTACTTCCCATCTCCAGGACTCGAGTCCGGCCTGCCGGTTTCCCTGAATCCCTTCATAAATGTTACTTTGCTCACACTCCAACAGCATGTCGAGTATTAAAAACCATTTGTCTCCATTCACTCCTATCAAACACGCTCACTCATACCCGCTGGAAGTCCAAGCCCCTCGCACAAAAACCTTCTTTACCCCCTCCCTCCAACCTTTCCTAGGCCGACCCCTATCCCGCCTTCCTTCCACTACAGACTGATACACTCTTGAAGTCATTCTGTTTTGCTACATTCTCTCTACATGTCCGAACCACCTCAACAACCCTTCCTCAGCCCTCTGGACAACAGTTTTGGTAATCCCGCACCTCCTCCTAACTACCAAACTACGAATTCTCTGCATTATATTCACACCACACATTGCCCTCAGACATAACATCTCCACTGCCTCCAGCCTTCTCCTCACTGCAACATTCATCACCCATGCTTCACACCCATATAAGAGTGTTGGTAAAACTATACTCTCATACATTCCCCTTGTTGCCTCCAAGGACAAAGTTCTTTGTCTCCACAGACTCCTAAGTGCACCACTCACCCTTTTCCCCTCATCAATTCTATGATTCACCTCATCTTTCATAGACCCATCCGCTGACACGTCCACTCCCAAATATCTGAATACATTCACCTCCATACTCTCTCCCTCCAATCTGATATCCAATCTTTCATCACCTAATCTTTTTGTTATCCTCATAACATACATATTATTTTATTTTATATTTTATTATCACACCGGCCGATTCCCACCAAGGCAGGGTGGCCCGAAAAAGAAAAACTTTCACCATCATTCACTCCATCACTGTCTTGCCAGAAGGGTGCTTTACACTACAGTTTTTAAACTGCAACATTAACACCCCTCCTTCAGAGTGCAGGCACATGTACAAGCATATATATACACACACAGCCCTCTGGGTTTTCTGCTATTTTCTTTCTAATTCTTGTTCTTGTTTATTTCCTCTTATCTCCATGGGGAAGTGGAGCAGAATTCTTCCTCCGTAAGCAATGCCTGTTGTAAGAGGGGACTAAAATGCCAGGAGCAAGGGGCTAGTAACCCCTTCTCCTGTATAAATTACTAAATTTAAAAAGAGAAACTTTTGTTTTCTTTTTGGGCCACCCTACCTCGGTGGGATACGGCTGGTTTGTTGAAAGAAGAATTCATTATCAGTGACCTAAAACTGGTTGGAAATTGCTACTCTGGTCTCGGAAGCATTTTGGTTGTTGACCAGTGATAATTAATTCATTTATCACAAAATACAGCGGAATCTCATTTTTCGGCTGCCGAGTTTATCGGCCGATTCATATTTAGGCCGCTTTTTTCAGTGGAAATTCTGCTCCATATTTCGGCCATTGCCTCAAAAATCGGCTGTATTAGATGCCTTGGCCCGCCTCCCGCCAGGACACCACGCGTAGGAGAGTCAGTCTCCCTTTGTCTGTCAGCAAGTGCGCATATACTCTGAGCATTCATCCGAATGTTTCCTTAAAATCCATTGTTTTTGTTGGTTTTTTAAGTGTGACTGTGAAATAAGTCACCATGGGCCCAAAGAAAGTTCCTAGTAAAGGTCCTTTGGTAAAGAAAGTGAGAAACACGATGGAATTTAAGAAGGAAGTAATAGAAAATTATAAAAGTGGTGTGCGGGTGCTGGAACTTCCCAGGATATATGGCAAAAACAGATCAACAATCACTTCTATCGTGGCCAAGAAACAACAAATCAAGGAATCTGACGAGGAAAAAGCGGTAAAAGTGTTAATGAAAAAGAGATCACAAACAAATGAAGATGTGGAGAAGTTGTTGTTGTTGTTGTTGTGGATGAGGGAAAAACAGTTAGCGGGAGACAATGCTTCAGAGACGATCATTTGTGAAAAGGCAGGGCAACTGCATGCGGATCTCGTAAAGAAAATGCCTGGTACTAGTGATGATAGTGAATTTAAAGCCAGCAAAGGCTGGTTTGACAGATTTAAGGAGCGTAGTGGCATACACAGTGCTGTAAGGCATGGTGAGGCTGCAAGTTCAGACAAACGTGAGGCTGAAAAATTTGTACAGGAATTCAAGGGGTGCATAGAGGCTGAAGAATTTCAACCCCAACAAGTGTTCAAATGTGACGAAACAGGCCTCTTTTGGAAGAAAATGCCAAAGAGGACCTGCATCACGCAGGAGGAAAAGGCACTACCAGGACACAAGCCTATGAGAGACAGGCTAACACTCATGTTATGTGCTAACGCTAGTGGGGATTTCAAAATGAAGCCTTTACTTGTGTATCACACTGAAAATCCCAGAGTGTTCAAGGAAAAACAATGTCATCAAGAGTAAACTGCGTGTGATGTGGAAAGCTAATCATAAGGCATAGTCACAAGGCAACTTTTCATTGACTGGGTCCATAGTGTTTGGCTCAAGTGTGAAAAAATACCTCCTGGAAAATAAATTGGAACTCAAGTGCCTCCTGGTGATGGACAATGCTCCTGCTCATCCTCCAAACTTGGTAGACCAATTGTCTAGGGATTTCTGTTTTATAACAGTGAAGTTCTTGCCTCCTAACACCACTCCTCTCATCCAGCCTATGGACCAGCAGGTCATTTCTGACTTCAAAAAAAAAAAAACTCTACACAGAAGTGTTTCAAAAGTGCTTTGAAGTGACCTCAGACACTGAATTGACCCTAAGAGAGTTCTGGAGGAATCACTTCAATATCTACAACTGCATAAGCCTTGGCAGGGAGTGACTTTCAGGACTTTGAACTCTTCTTGGAGACAATTGTGGTCAGACTGTGTCCTTGAGAAGGATTTTGAAGTGTTTGAGGCTGACCCTGACCCCGTCGACCCTCTGCTTGTTGTGGAATCTATTGTGGCACTGGGGAAGTCAATGGGGTTGGATGCGAGTGGCGAGGATGTGGAAGAGTTGGTGGAGCTAACCACTGAAGAGCTGCAACACCTTCAACTGGAACAGCAACAGATCACAGCTGAGGAACTTACTTCAGAGGACGAGGAGGGAGAGAGAGAGGGAAGGATGTGTCTTCTTTAGTGATTAAGGACATTTGTGCAAAGTGCAATGAGGTGCAAACTTTTGTGGAGAAATATCACCCTGACCAAGCTAAACAAGCTCTATCTGCAACATGTTCAGTGACAAAACCTTGTCCCATTTCAGGGAAATCTTAGAGAAGCCAGAAATAGAGCACTCTGGACAGTTGTTTTGTGCGACAGGGGTCAAGCGACTCTCAAGCTGGTCCTAATGGCATTAAAAGACAAAGAAGGGAAGTAACTCCAGAGAGGGACTTGTTACCTAGTCTTTATGGAGGGGATTCCCCTTCCAAACAATAATCTGCCCTCCCTTTCTCCTCTTCCCTGTCTTCCATAAGCCAACAAGAGTCTTCAATAAAGGCATGTAATAGTGATTTAAATGTTCTTAATTTATTTTATTTAGCTCTCATTGTTTTGTGTATGTAAAACTATAATTAATCTTTAAAAAATGTATTTTTTTTTTGTGAATATTTTTGGGAGTCTGGAACAGATTAATTATATTTACATTAATTCTTATGTGAAATATTACTTCGAATTTAGGCCAACCTTCTGGAACGGATTACGGCTGAAAAACAAGGTTCCACCGTACAAATTTAACCACCAAACTGCTGCAAGATGTATATAAACTACATACTGTATTCACAGTATATTTACCTCCCTCATTTCAACCTTGATTATGCAAATGGAAGGAGGCAAAGGACTTAAATCTTGGAGTTCTTCTCAATTTGCATATAAACATCATCTCCAGTATCCTCACATTTTAGCCTTGATGAAAAAAATATAAAAAAAACACTGCATATATTGACTGTTATATAAGAAACAGCTGTTAATTAGACCTGTTATTCCCATGGTGTTAAAAATTTTTTACTTATATAACGTATCCTGTGACGGCCCTATGTAAGCCAAACACTTATCATAGTGGTTCTGCAAGATCATCTGTTCACTTTCTTGTTTAATTGCTGAACTTGGTTGGAAATGGCCAATGTATTAATTAAAAGAAAAGAAATTGATCAAGTTATCAATCACCAACATGTTCAAAACCTGTATAAACACACCTAGGATAGGAAACTGAATGTTAAAAGCACAGAAATATGTAATTAGTAACATTATCAGTTATAAATCTTTAAGCACTGCCTTTTAGCTCCATCCACCCCAAGAAAAACAAATTTACTCTAACTGAAAAAAACAGGTTCCACTGTAAATAAGGAAACAGTACTGTATTAAGGATCAATATTATTAAATCAAATATCTTGTTATATGATTCTCTGAAAGATTATTTTAAAATTCTAAATTGTGGGTTAGTAAGTACTTCACATTTATTAAAAAGGTGAATTTTATTTTTATGCCTTGTATTGTACAAATAAAACAAACTTTAAATAAAAGGGATGTAACTTTTGTGCCAGTTGGAATCTAATACTGTTGATCCACCTATGGATTTTTCAGTTATAAGCATTTACATGAACTTATACTGTAATTAAAAAAAATTAACAGGATTTAAAAAAAAAATTGTCCAATAGATCAATGTATACAACACACAAATCTGAAGAATTTTACTAATTTCCGTATGATTATCAAGGAATAAATGATGCAAGCTACATGTCACACAATGTTCAATGAATATATTTGCAACACTGAAAAAAATTACTAACTAAAGGGCATAATCACCTGGATGGTTTTCCTAAATTCTTCAAGGATTTTCAATGCTGTGTCATAATCTTGTAAAAGGTGGAAGGACATAGCATAACCAATCCATGAAGCACGTTGTGTGGGTCGGAGTTCAAATAATTTATACCGAGTTTCCTGTAATAGGGAGTAGTTCAAATATTGATCTATGACTCAGTAATAAATATGTACAGAACAAGCAAGTTACAAAATTTCAATATATTTATGACTTGAATCCTTGTAAGTTATGACATTTAATACAACTATTAGCAGTTTGGAGGGATATGTTGTGTATCTTTATACGTATATGCTTCTAAACTGTTGTATTCTGAGCACCTCTGCAAAAACAGTGATAATGTGTGAGTGTGGTGAAAGTGTTGAATGATGATGAAAGCATTTTCTTTTTGGGGATTTTCTTTCTTTTTTTGGGCCACCCTGCCTCGGTAGGAGACGGCCGACTTGTTGGAGAAAAAAAAAAAAAAAAAAAAACATTTTTAAGTTGATTTAAGAATATCTGTATATTTTATTATAAGTTTCCCTACTTCATCTTGTCAATACCTTGCAGAATTGTGAATAAGCTACTACTTAATAATCAGTGTGATATGTTTGATAGTTTTATACTGAAAAACACAATCAACATAAAATAAATACAAAAAATTGTCAGTCTTTCAAAACTTTGTCTCACTAGTTATGGTTAAGAATTAATTTTTAAACTTCTCTAAATACTGTACAATACATGCAATTTTTACATCTTAAATTTTACATAAAGATATAAAAAGAATTTAAGAAAAATCATGGAGAGTTCAACACAAAATCTGCAGCATATCACAAGGGTAGTTACTTGGTTGACTGATACCCTAAACACACATTTCTAAATAAATGGCAAATCGAATTAAAAACTCCTCCTTTAGAGTTCCTTAGATTTGCGGTATATATTATTACCTCCCTGAATAAAAGAACTCGTCAAACTGAAATCCACTTTAACCAGGGATTGGCAGCTTTTCAAGGAAGAATAATACTGACTGCTGTGTTTTAGATAAAGTTTTGAGCTACACACGCAACCAAGAAAATGCACCTCCACCAAAAGTACCCGTGTTTACCTACACCATTTGTTTAACGATCACTTGTGTGCAACTGTTTTCAGGAACGCCACTTTGGTGGCATTCCTGAAAACCATTGCACACGTTGGTTTGCTTTTACAATTTGGAATTTTTATTTTGTGTATTATGTGCTTCAATAGCTAATAAAGAATCACATGTATGTACAGAGAGTTGCAGGTTTCCAACCCCTGACCTATACATTACCATCAAGAATACTCTATTCTCCAAAATAGAGAATAAAGTAAGCTCTAAAGTATATACAGTACAGTGGAACCTCAAAAATCAAACTTAATTCATTCCAGGAGCTAGTTCTAAATTTGATAAGTCTGAAATTTGAAGCAATATTTCCCATAAGAAATAATGGAAATACAATTAATCCGTTCCAGAAACCCAAAAATATTCACACAAAAATACATTTTATAGAGATTAATTACAGTTTTACATACAACAAATACAGTCGACCCCCGCATACCGTTGACATCACATAACGATTAATCCGCATACCGCTTGCTTTAATCGCAAAAATTTTGCCTCGCATACCGCTTAAAAACCCGCTCACCGATGTTCGTCCGAGACACGTCCAATGTGCGCCCTCAGCCAGCCTCACATGTGCCACCGGTGGCATTGTTTACCAGCCAGCCTCCGCGGTAACATCCAAGCATACAATCGGAATATTTCGTATTATTACAGTGTTTTCGGTGCTTTTTCTGGAAAATAAGTGACCATGGGCCCCAAGAAAGCTTCTAGTGCCAACCCTACAGCAATAAGGGTGAGAATTCCAATAGAGATGAAGAAAGAGATCATTGATAAGTATGAAAGTGGAGTGCGTATCGCCGACCTGGCCAGGTTGTACAAGAAACCCCAATCAACCATCGCTACTATTGTGGGCACCAGAAAGGCAATCAAGGAAGCTGTTCTTGCCAAAGGTTTAACTGTGTTTTCGAAACAAAGATCGCAAGTGATGGAAGATGTTGAGAGACTCTTATTGGTGTGGATAAATGAAAAACAGCTAGCAGGAGATAGCGTCTCTCAAGCGATCATAAGCGAAAAGGCTAGGAAGTTGCATGAGGATTTAATTAAAAAAATGCCTGCAACTAGTGCTGATGTGAGTGAATTTAAGGCCAGCAAAGGTTGGTTTGAGAGATTTAAGAAGCGTAGTGGCATACTAGTGTGATAAGGCATGGTGAGGCTGCCAGTTCGGACCACAAAGCGGCTAAATTTTTTTTTTTTTTTTTTTTTTTTTTTTTTTTTTATTATCACACCGGCCGATTCCCACCAAGGCAGGGTGGCCCGAAAAAGAAAAACTTTCACCATCATTCACTCCATCACTGTCTTGCCAGAAGGGTGCTTTACACTACAGTTTTTAAACTGCAACATTAACACCCCTCCTTCAGAGTGCAGGCACTGTACTTCCCATCTCCAGAACTCAAGTCCGGCCTGCCGGTTTCCCTGAATCCCTTCATAAATGTTACTTTGCTCACACTCCAACAGCACGTCAAGTATTAAAAACCATTTGTCTCCATTCACTCCTATCAAACACGCTCACGCATGCCTGAAAATATGTGCATGAATTCAAGGAGTACATAGAGACTGAAGGACTGAAACCTGAACAAGTGTTTAATTGTGATGAAACAGGCCTGTTTTGTAAGAAAATGCCAAGCAGGACCTACATTACTCAGGAGGAAAAGGCACTCCCAGGACATAAGCCTATGAAAGACAGGCTTACTTTGTTGATGTGTGCCAATGCTACTGGTGATTGCAAAGTTAAGCCTTTATTAGTGTATCACTCTGAAACTCCCAGAGCGTTCAGGCAAAAGAATGTCCTCAAGGAGAATTTTGTGTGTGCTGTGGAGGGCAAACAGTAAGGCATGGGTCACTAGGGACTTTTTTTTTATGACTGGTTACACCATGCATTTGCCCCCAATGTGAAAGATTACCTAACTGAAAAGAAATTAGAACTTAAGTGCCTCCTGGTGTTAGACAATGCCCCTGGTCATCCTACAGACGTGGGCAGAGCGACTTTATGGGGACATGAAATTCATTAACATCAAGTTTTTGCCTCCTAATTACCACTCCTCTCCTGCAGCCCATGGACCAGCAGGTTATTGCAAACTTCAAAAACTGTACACAAAAGCTCTGTTTGAAAGGTGCTTTGTAGTGACCTCAGAAACTCAAACTGACTCTAAGAGATTTTGGAGAGAGCACTTTAATATCCTCAATTGTGTAAACCTTATAGGTAAGGCTTGGGAGGGAGTGACTAAGAAGACCTTGAACTCTGCTTGGAAGAAAACTGTGGCCAGAATGTGTAGACAAAAGGGATTTTGAAGGGTTTGAGGCTAACCCTGAGAGGATTATGCCAGTTGAGGAATCCATTGTGGCATTGGGAAAGTCCTTGGGGTTGGAGGTTAGTGGGGAGGATGTGGAAGAGTTGGTGGAGGAGGACAATGAAGAACTAACCACTGATGAGCTGATAGATCAACTTCAACAGCAAGAGGCCAGACCTGAGGAAACTGGTTCAGAGGAGGGGAGAGAGAAATTGAAGAAGTTGCCTACTACAAAGATTAAGGAAATGTGTGCAAAGTGGCTTGAAGTGCAAACCTTTTTTGATGAAAATCACCCTCACACAGCTATTGCAAGCCATGTTGGCAACCTGTACACTGACAATGTTGTGAAACACTTAGGGAAGTCATAAGGAACGAGAGGTACAGGCCACTATGGACAGATATGTTGTGCGAAAGAAGTCCAGTGACTCTGAAGCTGGTCCTAGTGGCATTAAAAGAAGAAGGGAAGTAACCCCAGAAAAGGACTCGACACCTCAAGTCTTAATGGAAGGGGATTCCCCTTCTAAACACTAACACTCTCTCCCCTCCTCCCATCCCATCAATCATCACCAGATCTTCAATAAAAGTAAGTGTCATGTAAGTGTGCATGCCTTTTTCAGTTTGTGTGTATTAAAATTAACATTTCATGTGGTAAAATTTTTTTTTTTTCATACTTTTGGGTGTCTTGCACAGATTAATTTGATTTCCATTATTTCTTATGGGGAAAATTCATTCGCATACCGATTATTTCGCATACCAATGACCCCTCTTGCACGGATTAAAATCGGTATGCGGGGGTCCACTGTACTATAGTTTTGAATTATGTATAGTAATACATATAAAATAACATTTTTACTTACCTTTATTGAAGATTGGTGATGGCATCTGGAAGATAGGGAGGACGAGAGAGGGAGTTGGGGTTAGTGTTTGGAAGGAGAATCCCCCTCCATGAGGACTTCAGGTAAAGCCCTCTCTGGGGTTACTTCCCTTCTCTGTCTTTTAATGCCACTAGGACCAGCTTGAGAGTCACTGGACCCCTGTCTCACAAAATAACTGTCCACAGTCCTCTGTTTCTGGCACCTCTAACATTTCCCTAAAATGGAACATGGTTGTCACTGAACTTGTTGCAAAGATGTCTTGTTTCAGCTTGCTGAGGGTGGTACTTCTGCACAAACATTTGGACATCATTCCACTTGGCACAAATCTCCTTAATCTTTGAAGAAGGCACCTCATCCACTCCCTATATTAACACCTTTCGCAACATCAGCTTCCTTGATTTGTTTTTTCTTTGACAGGATAGAACCGATGGTCGACTTGTTTTTCCCATACATCTTGGCAAGCTCAACTAGTCTCACACCACTCTCATACTTCTGTATTATTTCCTTCTTCACATCTATGGTGTTTCTCACTTTCTTTACCACAGGGGTACCACTAGCAAGTTTCTTTGGGCCCATGGCAGCTTATTTCACAGTCCCACAAGCACTAAACACAACGAAATAATCGTAAAATGCGTGAATGAGAGTGCAGGTTAGTGTTCACTAAAGCATAAACAAAGTTAGACTGCTCACGGTGCCTGCGCAGGGACGCGGACAGAGCGGGCGGCAGACAGGTCCCGTACCCGGCAATCCGAAAATAGGGGCGCGTTCGATAACAGGGACACAGGTTGTCCAAAAAAATGGTCCTATTTTTGAAACGTTCGATATATGATACTTTCGATTTTTGAGGTTCCACTGTATATATTAAGATACTTTCTTCTTTCTTTCAACACACCGGCCGTATCCCACCGAGGCAGGGTTGCCCAAAAGGAAAAACGAAAGTTTCTCCTTTTACATTTAGTAATATATACAGGAGAAGGGGTTACTAGCCCCTTGCCCCTGGCATTTTAGTTGCCTCTTATAACACGCATGGCTTACGGAGGAAGAATTCTGTTCCACTTCCCAATGGAGATAAAAGGAAATAAACAAGAACAAGAACTAGAGAGAAAATAGAAGAAAACCCAGAGGGGTGTGTATATACATGCTTGTACATGAATATGTAGTGTGATCTAAGTGTAAGTAGAAGTAGCAAGACGTACCTGTAATCTTGCATATTTATGAGACAGACAAAAGACACCAGCAATCCTACCATCATGTAAAACAATTACAGGCTTTCGTTTTACACTCACTTGGCAGGACGGTAGTACCTCCCTGGGTAGTTGCTGTCTACCAACCTACTACCTACAATATTAAGATACATCCTTTACAAATTAAACATACAAGAATGAAAAAAAAATTTTGAAAAGTTTTTCTTCCTTTTACAAACAGTAATTTAAAAAGGAGAAGGGGTTACTAGCCCCTTGCTTCAGGTATTTTAGTCGCCTCTTACTACATGCATGACTTATGGAGGAAAGATTCTTATCCACTTCCCCATTAATTCATAATATTCATCATATATCACTTGCCTTGTAGCCATCAAGATCTCTCATTTGAATCTGAAGCAAGGAGAGATCACGCAATATCTGCAGATTGTCCTTGTCCCATTTGAGAGCATTTCGGTAACACTTGATAGCTTCATCGTACTTCTTGTCGGATCGTTGCAGTAACCCAAAAACATGCCAACATACATGACTCTTCAAATTGTTGCGGAGGCCTTGTCTCACAAAGTTGTAGGCATCTTCTTTTCGCCCCAGGCAGTTCAATATAAGTCCCTTCATAGCAAGAGTTTCTGAAATAATAAAACAGTGAACTTTATGTATAGAAGTAGTGCTCAATTTGGTTTGAAAGTTATTCCAAATGAGATGGAGGAAGCATTTATGATAGCCATATAAGCACACACACACACACACACACTCACACTTCTTAATACTGCCATTCATCTACTTTCTTTACACTTGGTTTTCCTCTTTACATCATGCAAGTCTAAGTTACATTTTGTAACATATCCTATTATTGCATTAAATTTTGTAATGGTAGGATTGCTAGTGTCTTTTTTCTGTCTCATAAACACACGGGATAACAGGTATATCTTGCTACTTCTACTTACACTTAGGTCACTCTACACATGCATGTACATGCATATATGTTTATACACCCATCTGGGCTGTCTTCTATTTTCTTAATAGTTCTTGTTCTTATTTATTTTCTCTTATCTCCACGGGGAAGAGGAAAACAATTCTTTCTCCAAAGCCATGTGTCCTAAGAGGTAGCTATAATGCCAGGAGCAAGGGGCTAGTAACCCCTTTTCCTGTATAAATTATTAAAAGTAAAAAGAAAGACTTGTTTTCCCTGGGTCACCCTGCTTCAGTGAGATATGGATGGTTTGTTAAAAAAAAATGTATTTTACTATTCACTATAAAAAATGTAATCCTTAATCTTTCTTCACTAATAAAAAACTACTTTCCTCTAGCATTATTTAATTTAGGAGTTAGCAATTTATTTTTTAAATATCTTTTAAATTGGACATAAAAATTTATTTTTGTCAGAATTTTTTTTTTTTTTGTGGGGTGGTGTGGGGTAGGAAGGCTGGAAATGTTGGATAACATACTTCATCAGGATTCTCAGATTTTCTTTATGATTTCTCAAGTACCTAACTTAAAAATAAAAGAAGCAAAAGAAATCTATATCCTGCTTTGCTGTACTAAAATTTAGATTCACAATAATAACTAGGTCATGTAAAATAAATTTTGTCTTTAAGGTAAAGTAGGCACCTTGGTATCTGCTCAAGATGCCACGTGCAATTTGTCTTACTGCCATACAAAATGTCATCCAGTTGCTTTCATGTAAGTACGTACATACTTCAGCAAAATTTGTTGATGCCTTTCTCACGAGTAAAACTGCCGAGTTTAGTGACATTGATGAACAATAACCCAGGCTCGTGGCCTGGTGGCAAAAGCTCTCACTTCACACAGTGAGGGTCCGGGTTTGATTCCTGGCGAAGGTAGCAACATTTTGCATGTTTCCTTACATCGGCTGCCTATGTTCACCCATCAGTAATAATGAGTACCTGGGTGTTAGCTGACTGGTGTGGATTGCATCCTGGAACAAAATTGACCTAATTTGCCTGAAATGCTCTGCATACCAAGAGGTTTTCTGTGTAGTAGTATGTCATCGAGGTCAGCTAGGCCTGTATACCTTGTCCAATGGTGCGACACAATATACTGAATCTTCTAATTAACCCTTAAACGGTCCAAATGTATATATACGTTCACCTGCGCAGCGTCCTGAATATTTTGAGAGAAAAAAAAAATCGGCATTTTTTTATAGCAAAAAAGAGCATGTGGTACCCAGGCATCCCCAATTTTTTTCATATGGCACACACTAAGTGTGCACACCCATTCTCTCATGTCTAGGTGACTCAGGCCTATTGTGCCAATGCTGAACGAATGACAAATGAAACGTATATATACGTTTGGGGCGCTACACGAGAGAACGTATATATACGCTTGGACCGTTTAAGGGTTAATGAACCAATGAGAGTGTGAGAAAGGAAAAGTGAGGAATAAACTGCCATGATCAATAGTGGTGATTAAGAATAACTTTTATTCCCAGTCAGAAGAGCTATGAAGCTCCACTAGCATCTACACTTACTCCTACACATACCAGACACTGTTTCTTTAACGCCACATTCCCCACATACTTGTGCTACTTAGATGCCACAATTAGCCTTTACTAGTTCAAGTTTCTGCTTAATTCCACGTTTCCTCTTGGCACCATCACTTGCTTTAGAAGCCATTGTAAATTGTGCTTTACTTAATATGTTAATTAAGTCACACCTGTAAATCCAGAAAAAATTGGAGACTGAATGACGAGTGTACGAGTGATCATAAACAAACTGGCATAGGAGGCCTATGGGTCAAGGAAAAATAAAAACAAAGGCCCTGGATGGGGAACCCCTGGCTCTTATTAGACAAATATTGGAATCATAGGACCTGGTCTGATGGTTCAGAAAACAACTGGACACTATCACTATGGACAAAATCTGGAACAATGGATTTTTTTTTAATTTTGAATGATGTTTCTAGTGTTTGCTTGGCTAATCATTTTGTCCTAAATTACCAAAAATCCATTAATGAAAGGTTTTGCTGTATTATTATTACTATTATTTGTTGTAGTGGTAGTAGCAATATATGGTATTATGCTTTAGGTATTAACAGAATTTTTTATAACGTGAGAGAGAGAAACACACACACATGAATGACCCGCACCATGCTGGATACTCACCCTGTGACTTCAAGTGATGTCACATACGAAACATTACAGAATATGAACAGATATTGTTTTGATAGCACTAATATTCTCAATGAGATGGTTAGTACTGTTTTTCCAATACCAAAGCTTCAACCTATGACACTGAGCTTGACTCTTATCATCATTACTGATTCTATGTCATCATTGAAGGCTCTTGGCTCATATAATGACTCCAACAACATGCTCATTGGGGAAGCCAGGTATAGATACTCAAAAATTAGGGACAAAGGAATTAATGTACAATTGCTATGGATCCCATCACACATTGGATTACTCCTTCATGATAAAGTTGATATGTTAGCCAAGAAGAGTATCAAGAAGGAGAATGTAGAATATAACTTTGGTATAACTGTGTCTAGCATTAGGAATAATATTAGGAGAGAAGTAAATAATGAAAATGATTGTTATAGGAATGCAGTTAGAAGCCTGAGTAGATCTATAACCCACTATGATAACATGAACGTAGATAAGTATGTTTATGGAGCAACTTGCAATGTGAACAGACTGACTGATGTTGTAGTGGCCAGGCTTAGGCTTGGTTACAAGTACTTCTGGCAGTTTGGGAGACACACAGATGATGATCAAACTAAATGTAAATTATGTGATCAGGCATATGGTCATTCTCTTGAACACTATGTGCTTAATTGTCCACTTATTGAGGAATACAGAGACAGACAGTATAATAACCTATGTGACATGTCAAGATATCTTATTAATGAAAATAAGATACCAGATATACTAAGCAAATTTCCTAAATTTGCTTGTAACAGATAAGTGAACTATAGATATGTCGATATAAATCCATATGTATTCCTGTTAACCCTTTGGGGCCTAGTTCCTAGGCCTTTTGTGTATCCATATGCTCTCGCGCTACCGTCCACAGGATGGATATGGGGTGCACAATAAACTAGCCACTTCGGTGGCAAAATCCAAATCCAAAGCTTCAATATATTATGTGTACACCACAACTGAGATAATCTTTAGCATGGAGTATGCTTCTTCGTTTAAATTTTATAAGAGGCACTGGAGAGCAAACAGACTTAGCAGTTAAGAATAAAAGAAGGGAGGTACTGGAAAAAATGGAGAGGATCTTTTGATGAGTTGTTGAATGTTAATGATAAAGAGGAGGCAGTGATTTCATGCATGGGGCAGGGAGGGATAATATCATATAGGAATAAGGAGCAGCCTGAGGTGGGTTTGGGGAAAGTGAGAAAAGAAGTAGGTAGAATGATAAAGAATGATACAGATGTTAATATATGCATGAAAGAAGAGATGGTACCAAAGGATTGGAAGAAATGTGCATAGTTCCCCTGTATAAGGGAAAAAGGAGACAAGAAAGAATGTAAGAACAATGCCCCCCCCCCCCAAAAAAAAAAAATTATCTTTTTATCCAGTTCAGAAACCAAATCGCTTAGTGCAAGCTAACTTTTATATGCTAGTCACAGATCTGAGCTTGTTTAACATCTAATCACATAATTTTTTCTTTTCAAAATATTATGATCAATATTTTGGAATTTCAAGTTGATGAATCATGTGATATGTATTACCTAATAACCATCGGATGTATTACATTATGCACGGATAAGAAGTGTGGTGAAGGTATAGATCCTTGTCGTATCCCAGTCATTTTTTCCTGAAAGGACATTTTCTCTTCTGTCACTGTTTGCATTTTCCTCTCAAATTCTCTTAGCCACTGTGCTAGTTGAGTTTTCCTCCTTTTATAATTTGAAGTTTCCAAATTAGTCTCCTCATGGTGAACTTTAAAAACAAAGGTTTTCTCAAAATTTAAGTAAATATAATCTTCCAATTCATTCTTTTAAATATAATCTGCCCATCCATTCTTTTAAAATATAGTACATATGCCCATCCATTCTTTTAACCCTTAAACTGTCCAAACAGATTTACTTTCACATGAGTAGTGCTCCAAAAGTAGATCTTCGGTTTTTTTACATATTTAAAAAAAAAAAAGATCAAAGTTTTTTTATACGTTTTCAAATGTAAAAAAAAAAATCTACGTTTTTTACATACTTTCAAATGTCGAAAAAATGTAGATCTATGTTTGGACAGTTTAAGGGTTAAATATAAACTTTCCATCCATTCTTTTAAATACAATCTACCCATCCATTCTTTTAAATATAATCTACCCATCCATTCTTTTAAATTTAATCTACCCATCCATTCTTTTAACCCTTTAGGGGTCCAAGCTGAAGATCTACGTCACGAGCTCATCTCCCTCAGATAAGCTGTGAACGGGAAATTTATTCCTAGATACGAGAGAGTGAATCTATGCTGTAAGTGTGCACCATATAAAACAAATCCTGCAGTACGCAGTGCACAATGAGAAAAAGAATGAGACTGTGTATTTTGGATTAAAACACCGACTTTGCAGTGTATTTTTGTATGGTTTTTATGGTTGTATTCACAGCTTCTTGGTCTCATTTGATAGAATGAAAGATATATTACAGAAATAGAGATAAT